CAAACCCGAATATTTATGCCTTTTATTTCCGCGATTGACAGAATTTATTTTTGTACCAACACACGTCTTTGGTATGATTTTTTTTTTTTTTTTCCATCGATTGGCAGAATTTATTTTTGTACCAACACGTGTTTTTGGTATGGTTATTTTTTTCTACACATCTCACATTTTTCTATCTTTTTGGCTTTTTGGAGTTTGAGTTTTTACGTGTCGAACATTAGCAACACTTTTTTTTCCTCAATTTGTGTATTATCCTTTTTTACGTTTATGAGACGTTGGCATTCTTCGGTCACCCTTTGTAATGTTATTTTCGAGTCTTGCTCGACCATTATTAATATTCTCGACCTAATTTCTTTATATTTAGGATCAGTTAGTCCTTGAAGAAAAATTAGGCACTTGAATACATCTTTGGGAATTTCTTCTAACTTGAATTGTTCAACCAGAGAGTTCACTGTTCCCGCGTATGTCAGGAAATCCTTGTTATCTGCTTTAACGATGTTTAGGCATCTGTATCGCGTATGGAACAGACTATTCCTTTCGTTAAATATTTGACAGAATACTTATAGTTTCTTCAAACGAAACTTCTTCTGGCTTTCTGGGCAATATCAAGTTTGAGTACTTCGTATTCTCGTTTGTCCCTAGTTTCTGGACTAATAATGTTACTCGTTCCTCATCCGACCAATGTTGACATCTCTTGGTAAATATAGTTTCGAAACATTTAAAGTATGCTGGAAATGTAATGCCCGAATCAGGTTCATAAATAAATTCGGATAATGAATTTGCTATTCCTTGACAGAAAAAACAGCATTTTTTTCTTTCTCCAGTCGCCTGTTTCAGAATTTTTTTTTAGACTTTTTGCTGTTACAGTATTTGTTGTTGTAACTCTTGGTGCTGTTGTTGTAACTCTTGATGCTGTTGTTGTTGCTGTTGCAAGCTTGTACACAGCATTTTAGTCATTTTGACTAATTGCTCCATCCTGACTTTATTTAGAATTCGACAAAAAAAAAAAAAATTTTTTTTTTTTTTTTTAGACGGTTAACAGACAATTTACAGCCGTAATATTTTTACAACCCGTAATTTTTACTTGAATAATCAATTATTAGACCGGCTCGCATTTGAGTCGCGGTTCAATATATATTTTTCAAATCACAATTTAACAGTAAAAATTTTCTTACTTTTTCAAAAAAGTTTCCTTTTTGACTTGTGACTCGCTTTTCAAATCCTAATCGGCGTCAACTGATATCTTTGACTTGCGAATCTGCTTCCGAAATCCTTTCAGCGTAATCTGATATATATATATACATTTTTTTTTTTTTTTCAAGTAAGTACGTTGCACAATCCTCGTCGCCAGCTGTTATATCTCGTGCAAGATATAATAAACAAAGTAACCCGAGTGTTGGTTTTCAATAATAGGTTTATAATCGGATGTAGGTGTGTCAAGTACAGAGACAGAGTCGGGAGTATGCTAACCTCAATAGGTGTTAACAAACGAAGACCTTTTGACTCTCCGCTGTGGTCGTACTTAACCGGCAACCAGTCCGTCCATTATCGTGAATGGGGAAGTTGGGTTATATCATCACAACATTTTCAAATATGGCCTAACTTGAAGAAGCCTTTCTTTGAGTTATGACAAGTTTAATTGCATAAACTCTAACAGTATGATTCCTTTCTGGTCCCAAAACACGTTGGCCATCACTTCCTCTGTAGTGCATGCTGCGTTTAATTTCTTTCTGTTGATCTCTGGCTCATTGTGGTGAACCCAGGCCTCATTTTCTACTTTTGAACATGCTAATAATGTTTTATGTTAGAAATTTACAAATCAAGTTAGATAGCAAACATAGACATAGATGTGTGAATGTAGGTATTCAACTTCATATTCGAGACAGGAGGATAAGCTCAAAGAAACAGACATGTTGTACCATGTTAACACACAGTGACTTATTCTATTTATTAGGAACAACACAACAATGTGCTGTCATAACAGTAATAAAAACAAAGAAACTAGGAGTAGATAACTCTGACTCCTTTAAAGTGTTCATCTGAGTAAAGTGGAATTTTCAACATTTTGCAGCTTCAAAAGCTCTTGGACAGCAACCACTCTCTGTTCCTTCATGGAGTCTGTATTCTCGGAGCTCACTTTTCATAAACTTTTGAATAGGCAAGAGGCTTCACTAAACTGGAGGCACTACCATCTCTCATCTGAAGGCTTTCACAAAGTTTTGCAATGATTCTTCTATCAGCTTTAATGAGAGAATCAGCTTGTTTGGCTTTATCTTCATTCACAGCAGCAGTTGGCATGCCAGTAAGGTCAGATTCTCTTTTCTCTTTACGATTGCTATTCATTCTACTGACCTATCTCCTTACTGTTATAAAGAACTGTGTTTCCTTAGGATCTCAATCCTGATATCATCGCACCATATGAATATAAGCGGGGTTGTAAGGTGATTTTTTTTTTTAATATTGGTAGGGGAGTTATTTCTCTGTCTTTGACATTCTTAGTTACTCCCTTAGTGCCACACTTATTTAAGTGTAATGTCTAGTGGAGTTGATCTGTACCTAACAAAACTTGTTAAGCCATGGTTTCTGTTTATTGCTTCACTTTTAATCAAATAGTTTGCATTTGCACATCAGAAATATCAGAGTATGATTAAAGGAATTTTACTTTTTGGCAAACAGACAGAAAGTTAATAAAAGGATACTCAAGTGTTAAAACTTTAGATGATTTAGGCAACCTTTTGGTGTGAGAGTTTTTACAACCTGAGATATGTTCTTCAGCTACATTTACATATGACAATAATCATTTTAAAGTAGTTTTTGTGACCATTAAATCTAATATTGCTTATGGCTGGCTTCTACCCTCTCATACTACCAACTTTGACTGCTACAAATGACTAGACTCTTTATCTCAGTTATCTCTCTCTAGTTCCAATGTGGACAAATGGAACCTTCTTGTTCTACTTTCTCTAACACCAATATGGATGATCAGACCCCTCCTTTTATTTTATTTTTTGCTCTGCTCTATCACTAATCTGAGTTCAACAGTCAGAACACACTTTTATTGCTCTGCTGCTACTACTGCCTTGCAAGCACTAAAAAATTGAGCATCACCTTTAACATCTCAGATGTTCTTCAGATGCAAAATTTCTATTCTTATTAGTCTGAACTTTAGATTTCTTTCCAAGGTCCATGTGTCAACACACATCAAATTCTTAAAATAAAAAAACAAAGCGGATGAAAACCAATAATATAATCTTTTATGAATGTGGTAGTAGTGACCCAATTCTTTGCTTTTAATTTTTTCCAACCAAATTTGCACAAACACATCCCAATTTCATAAATGGTGAATATATTATTTATTTTACCACATTAGGGGAGACTGAATGAGAAATTAATATATTCCAATCCAATAAATATTTGACCCTTGGAGGTACCCAAAACTGTACTTCTAGCAATGTAAATTTAGAGTCTTGGTTTCTAATTATTCTGACACTGCCTCTCATCTTCATTTTATGATTGTAATTAATATTTTTTAACTATTCTTTTTTTGTTTTAACCCCCTATTGTTCTATGCTTTAATTAGCATTTTCTTAATCTGTTACTTTAATCATTTCACTGACAGAAATCACCATTTAAGACTTTTATGCACTAATAAAACTTCAAACAAGGTTGTCACCATCTTATACTGTGCTTACATGAAATGCAGCTTTTCCATAAACATTCACTAATCATGTGTGAATGTTTACAGCATTTGCTCCTTCCAAAAGAAAAATAGAAATTCTGTGACAGCTATTTGTTTTCCACGTGTGTCCACAGGGGCAGCCATTTTGAATGAAGATTAAGGATAAGGAAAGTGAAAGTTACTCTACAAACTTTGCTTTTTATGGTTTATAGCTAAAAAAAACAGCAATTCTGACTAATAGTAAAGGAGTAACACTATGGTATCACCTAGAAAAATATATAGTGTTTATAGTCAGGGAGTCATAATTGACAAGCAAGTACAAAATTTGTTTGCAAAGTTTTGTTCTATAGAAACATCTTTGAAAGATGTGTCCAGATCAGAGTGTTTGTCAGACTTTGGTGATGAAGCTCTAAAGTCATTAGTGAAAAGCAATCCATAGCAAAGTACTCAGGAATTAGCAACAATGTTGAACACATCACGATGTACCATATGCCAAAACTGAGAAAAGATAATTCAGTAAGCTGGGTGTTTGGACTCCACATGCTCTTAGCAAAAAGAACAAAGATCATTTATTCATAATGACAAGTCTCCCTTCATAACAGAAAAATAACCTGTTCCTTAAATATATCATAACAAGTGATACAACAATGTTCAACACAAAAGGTAGTGGATTGGCAATGACACATCCGCACAACCAAACCCAAAAACTGAGTTACATGGAAGAAAGTTATGGTTGTGCATGTGGAGCAATCCTCAGAATATTATTCATTTACAAGTGTTAAAATGCAAAAAAAATACCTATGTCCAGCAGTTGCAATGTGTCAATAAAAGGTTGTTCAAAAAGCGCACTGCACTTGTCAATAGGAAAAATGTTTTCCATGAAAATGCAAGGGCACATACAGAAAAGATAACACATCTGATACCTGTACCATCTGATTATTACCTTTTTCAGTTGCTGAAAAAGGATTTGATGAAGGAAACTTTCTCTCATGAAAATCAGATTCAAGAGTTTTTCAAAAGCATTTTCACATCAAATCCTTTAGAATTTTACTATCAAAGAGCTTCCTGATAAGTGGCAACAAGTCATTGCAAATAATGGTGAATGTATAATTGAATAAAATATAATTATACTTTTCATTTTGGAGAATGAAGTTGATAGACAAAAACAGAAATTATTTATGATTCAATATATATTTGTGTAATTTGTAAAATATTTTTTCAAACGTCTCCAATTATAAAGTGCTTACACAAACACAGAATTCTTTCTATTTGCTTGAGAAATTTGAATGAAACATTTCCTTTCCTGTTATTTATTCCATAGTGAAAAAGAACACAACACAGTCAAGAAAGAAACAATCACTACACACAAAGCTGATGAGAATCACACCAACATATGAAATGGAGCAGAAGATTGTAACAGCCAAAAAACTAAATAACAATGAACTAAGAAACCTGAATGCTGAGCTTCTAAGGCAGATTGAAAAGCAGAAAGAAGAGATTCGTATCTTGAAGAGAATGGAGTTTCGCCAAAGCAAAGCCCTGGAGAAGTTTGAAAGTAGCAAAAGTCGGTTGCCAATGCTTCTTGAGTCACATAACAAGGAGATACTTGGCATGAGGGAACAAATACGAACAATGAAAACACGCTACAGAAAATCCCAAGAATCACTGCGGGAAGTGGAAGATGAACTGGAAAAAAACAAGAATCGACTTAACAAGTACAAAGCTCTTGTAGATGATGAGAATCTACAAGAGAGAGCTGAATTGAGCAAACAACTCAATATTGCTCAACAGAAGGTTAAAGAACTGGAAACAAAAATTCAGGTAATTCATGTTTTTTTTTCTTTTTAATATTAATTAGTGATTTTTGCCTTGTATTTAGTACTTATAAATTTGTTTGAAACAATGTATGGATTTATCTACAAACTGTTGAAATTGTAAATTGTGGGGTGCAGATAAACATTTTCCTATGCACAAGTTTAGTTGTGAGATACAAATTTCACATACCCATTACTTCTTGTAAAATATTTATATAGATATATTCAGTTTTTTTTAGATAATTTATTGATTTATTGTAATAACTAGATGAACATTACTTAATGAGATCTTCAAGTTTGAAGTCAACAAAGAATTCTTTAAATTTTAGTCAGTCTGTTACAATCTATTTTTGTCTTTGATTACTTTCATAGATGAAAATGCTTGTTCACATTTGCACATCATTCCAAAATAGCAAATATAATTCTGAACAAATTTTCCTGGTTCTGGAAATTAATAAAAATTTAAGAAGTATTTGATATTGAGGGAAGCATGTTCGATTTTATTTTCATTAATGAATATGTTCTAAAGTCCCATCTGTATGTTACTAGACATTTTCATTTCTTTTTGCTCATTTTCCTATTGTTTAATGAATTCATGTATAATATCATTTTATGCTTTTCTCTTTTGTATTGTGATGGGTAACTGAATTTTAACAAAATACCTAATTTTTGAAAAATATAAAACTGCAAATATTCACTAAGAATAAATAAAGCATAACTCCATAGCTTGTGACTGTTCATTGTAAACTGATTGGCAAAATCACTGCGATGTAATGTGCCACATTATACAAAGCAACACTTTTGGTGCATATGTCATGGATTCGCCTTCTGTGTTCTAAGCAATTATGATTTCATGATTCCTATATACTAATTCTCACAATTTAATTATATAGAATCAGAAGCTGAGCAAAACCATGATCACTAAAAGTAGACTAATAAAATAGAAGCAAAAGAAACAGTGAATGACTATGATTATCTGGATCTTTTGATTGTATCAAATTTTAGTTCTTTTTGTGTCAGGTAGTTACACAATGCAGAAGTTGTGATAATTTCATTTACATTGCATTTAAAGTATTTTCTCTTTTACTAGAAAGACCTGTAAAAATTTCATGGTTTTCCTATTTTAATATTCTGATGAATCTTAATTCTTAAGTTAATGATTGAGTAAGCTTATGGCAAGTTCTACAGCAATAAAATCTCCATAAAAATTCCCCTATCGCATTGTTAAATATTTGAGTTTGACAAAATATTGCAACAACAATCATAAATATGAATGCTGGTTGTTATTTTAAGAAGTGGGTACAAATGAAAAGATTTGAAATTGATAACTTTTTTCCATTTCACTGGAACAGATGTTAAACACTTCTATCTTCCCTTTCTTTCATTCATTTTTTTCACTGAACTCAAGTAGTGTCTTTTCCCCTCTTTCCATGCAATTGAAATGGAATAGTCCATTATTTATGAGGTATTGGCAGGACATAACATTCTTCTGAACTAATAAAAGGAGGGACAAGCACAATTATAATAGGATTATCCATCTTGTACAGATATAATGAGATGATAAGTATCTAGATTAAAGATTTTTACTTCACTTAATTTCACTGACAAGTAAGATCATTGGGATTTCTGAGATGCTGGTTTGATCCAGCATCTCAGAAGCCCCAATGGTGTTGTGTTAGTGTTAATTTGTATAATTACAGAAATGTCTTTCTACCTAACAAAACACTTACTAGTATATCTGAACTGTGTAGGTGTGGATTTATATTTAACAGAGTGAAGATTTTATGACAGAATTTCAATATGTGCATTTTTCTGGAAATGATGATTTCTTCAAATAAAATATAATTATTTACATAATGCATGAAGCCAACTTTTTTCATCAACCACTCTCTATAACTTTGTCAGGATAAATATATAGCTGTAACTTTTTAATAAATAACTCTAAAAAAAAATATTATTTTAAAGTTATCCCCTTCTAAAAGAAATTTTTTCTTAGTAGGGAATGGGAGAAGAGAGAATGTCTAATCTGTTATCCTGAATGTTGGAAAAGGTGTATATTATAACAAACAAGGCTTGAAACTACTACATGAAATTTGAAAGATACAAACATTTATTATACAGATATAATAAAATGTACAGAAACAATCAAGAACCAAATTTAATAATGAGTTCTACTTCCACTGGTTTTGATGACTTCAAAAATTCATTGGGGCATGCTAGAAATTAATGTTTCCATTAAGCTGCGAGGAATATTGCCCCAGCTTCTGAAGATAGCTTCACAAAGTTCATTTTTTGTTGAATATTGTTTGCCATTTTGATAAACATCTCTTGCCATCCATCCCCAAACATTTTCAATTGGGTTCAAGTCTGGTGAGCATGCAAGATGTCTCAAGAGATGGACCCCATTTTCTTGTAGAAAGGTCAATGTCCGGCATAAAGCGTGGATTGCAGCATTATCCTGTTGGAATAACCATACATCCCCACACAAATGATGGCCCTCCATCACCAACGGTGCTTTTGATAGCATGCTAACATAACCAGCCGCTGTCTGACGATCATTCACCACTATGACATATGGAGAAAATTTCAGGAGGCATGTTTTTGCTATACCAATACCGTTGGAAGCCATCAGGACCATCTAGATTTAATTTTTTCTCATAAAAAAACAGGACTTTCTTCCACTTCTCAATGTCCCATGTTTGATATTCATGACCAAACCTTAAACAGTTCACTTTGTGACATGGAAGCAGCTGAGGAATTTGTTTGTGCTTTTTATTTACCATGACTTTTAATCGTAAGTGTCGTCTGATGGTTACTGGACTGCAATCAGCATTTGTGGCTGCCTTAATTTGACTAGAAGAAAGTACACTGGCTTTCACAACAACCTGTCTAATTCTCCTACTCAATGCCAGAGAAATTTTTTTTGACCTACCAGTAGACTTTGTGTTTCCATAATTCACACTGTTCTTTAGAAAGTTGCAAATCACAATTTTACTGCGATTTACCTTAGCTGCGATCACCCACTGTGACAAGCACTGATTATGGAAATCTAGAATTCAAGCACGCTCAACTTTGGTAAGTTTGCTTGTTTTAGGCATGGTGACACCTTTACACAGTGATTGCTAATCTCTAACTGAACTAAAAACATTGGAATTACCCTAGATCTAACAATTTATACACCCCTCGTCTTATAATTCTGATCAAGTGTAAAAGGCCTCATTTTATAAAAATGTCCATTTCTGAATAAATTGATCGGATTATAACTTTTTGTCTACATAACCGTTTAGATTATAGAATTAGTAACCTTAAGTAAGAAAAAGTTTATAATGTATCCATGACTGTCTCTTATAAAAAATTTTCAAATGGTTCTAAATTTTTGATCAGTAGTAGTGTGTGTGCGTGTATATATATATATATATATATATATATATATATATAAATAAACAGTATTTTATTCAAAATGCCATTTACCAAAATTTTAATCTTCAGACTGTTTGGCCAGTATAATGTATTTTGTTCATTTTTTTTGTAAATGTTATTGTAATTTTTTTTATAATCCTACGTTGCTAATGCTAACTTCTTTCATAATGTACAACTGACAAATTACCAAAATCTTAACAAATTGCCAAACATGAGGAAGTTTTTAAAGTGTTTCTTGGTTGGCAGAAAAAGTATCAGCACTCCCTCATATATGTATTGTCACGAAACCTCTCCAACTGGGGCTCACTCCCAGTGAGGGTGACAAGTATTAAGTCACAACCCTTATATTTATACCCACCACCTCGGACAATGCCGAGTGGATTGCTGATATCAGGTTGGACAATTTTATGGGATGTCACTCCACCACAAGCAAACAGGGAAAGATGCAACACAGAACCTTTGAGCGACCAAAACAAAGATACCACAAAACAAATGATTAAAAGTGTAAGCTCCTCTTATTAATAACCCCTGCCAAAAAAACAACTAAACAGAAATAAAACTGACTAAGAATAAAAGAACAAAATGTTCATATCTCAACAAATTGTGGGTAATTCACCTAATTTTTGTCTGGAAAGATATGTGCAATGAAATTTTCTTTAAAATGTTTGTGTGTGCATTCTACAGGCTGGGTGAAAAGGAAAATAAAAGTTTGTTTTTTTTCTCTCTCTCTCTCTCTCTTTTTTTTACTCTTACAATTTATCTCTCTGTATCCTTTTCTTTTTTTGTCTTTTCATGATATCGCTGTTTCTCCGATGATTAATTTTTTTTGGCGTAAAGTTCTTTCTCTCAAGATCCTTTTTTTTCTTTTTTTTTTTTTTTTCTATTGCATGCTTATCTTGTTATTCTTTATTTTATAACTCTTTTTTCTCATTGAGGACAAAATAGGTTACTGAGGTCGGTTTCCTCATTGTCTTTCATATTCTTGCATTTTCCATTCATCAATTTCAAGTATAGCAATGCATGGCCAGGGCAGATTTTTCTTTTTCCTTTCTTCATATATCTTCTATGTTTATCATTAAACTCATTTTTGTTCTTTCAGTTTTTCGCGAACATTCAATTCTGGTTTAATGAGCCATATTCTTCCTTCCTCGTGATCTGATTCAAACTTCTCCAGATTTTTTTCTTTGATGCGTTTGTTCCATTCAGATTCTGTTTTCACCGTCAGTTAAGAAACAAAAGGGCTAAAGTTTCTTATATCTTTCTGACTGTTTTTGTAAGCTGACACCAGTGTTGTGCAATGGCATTACTATAGTTGTATCAGCGATTACAAAGTCTCTACTACAACAAGCATTACAAAAGTGACAAGTATTCATTGGCATCACAAAAGATAGAAGTAACTCATAAGTATTCTTAGTTAATCCAATTTTATTTACAGTATAATAAAATTGTAATGATTTCAAAGTTTGGATACAAATAAATAGAGAATCTGAATAAATAAAGTATAAGAAATCAAAATTCCTTTCTTAAGCCAGGGTGCAATGGATAAATTGTCATGCAAATTATGCAAAAAGAAAATAACACTGACATCTTATTTTAATAGATATATTTACCAAAATTACACAAAAATATCTAAAATACTAAAGAGCAAATTTATTTAATAAACTCACCATTGGCTTCAATCACGGCCTCCAGAATTTCCTGCAACTCTTCTGGATGTCTCCTTGTTTAAGTTGGTGAATGCTACCATAATCCTTGCCTTCAGTTCATTTTTGATATTACAAGGAGTTTGTTGGTCTTTAATTCAACTGTACCCCACACATAATAATCAAGGGAGTTGCTGTCTGGGGAGTTAGGTGGCCAGATGTAAAGGTAATGTGGTCACAGAAATTGTCTGAGAGCCATTACTGGCTTCTTCTGCTTGTGTGACATGGTGCAGAGTCCTGTTGGTCTTCCAGCAGTCACCCTCTTGACTACCTCCACAAGGCACTTGATGTAGGCCTCCATGTTGAGTCTGAGGCCCTCACCAACAAATTTAGGAGTTCTTTTCTTATCAGAACAATCAGAGTGAGTTTTCCAAGCTGCTGTACCTTAAACTTAGTCACCATTAGACTCATACAACTCTTTCCGAATCCTCTATACTTGACACCCAAACACTCTGGAATCTTCATACTGGAGATTCCAGTGCAGATGCCAAGCAGTACAGCATGTCATTTCCAAATTTCTGGCAGAGTGAATTGTGTCATGGTGCTCCTTTTCTAACAGATGGTGCCCAACTGACCCTACTATACTTTGCAGTTAACAAAATCAAAAACAAACAATATGCAAGAGCAAAATTAAAAATATAAAATGGCTACAATTTACCCATCACACTCTGTACTTAATATTTGGTAGCATGGTCTTTAAATTGTTTAACTTGAATTAAATTTGGTGGGTAGCCTTCCACCTTGACTTTATTGTCTTCAAGACATTTTGCAACAACAAAGATCCATTTGCAACCAAGCTTTAATTTTCTGGCCAATATCTTGAGATATTGCTTCAATAGATCTGCATAATTTTTCTTCTTCAGGAGGTCATCTACTTTGTGTACTAAATATGATGCTGCCACCCCCAATTGTTTTTTAGCTTGCAAGTCTCACACTTTTTCATCTAAACATAATGGTGTTCATTATGGCCAAACAGTTCAATACAGATACAAATTTATATATATTCTTTACATTTTTTCTTGTACTAATATTGCTATATTTGTTTTTTTTCAGGAATTAGAAATACACATACAACACTTGATAAAAAATCACAAATATGAGGTCAACATTGAAAAGGCTCAGAGCAAAAAGATCAAATTCACTATTCAAGAACTGGAAGAGAAGTATAACCGTTTAGAAATACAATTACTGGTAAGTTGTCTTATGACAATACCAAGTACAGTAGTACTGACAAGTATTTGAAAGAAATAAAAATTATTTTCAATTGTAACTGCAAGAGAAAGAGTGTCATTAAGAAAAGACTACATTATGTCTCTGTTTACTTGGAATTTTGTCATATTTAACTATAAACTTCCTGGAAGAAGATGACAGAATAGTTGGTTTTGTAAAACTGTATGAAAGTTCATAATTTTTATTTTTCAGAAAGTCATCAAACTTAGAATACCATTGATTCTGTAGCTTGTATTAACATGGTGATGATACTGAGAACAAAAGGCAGTATTGTGTGGTACAGAAAGCTATAACTTTGTTTTAATGTTTTGACTGTACCTTTTAATTCTTAACTTCCTGTAAGTAATAAATAATATTTCTGACTAAGGATTTTAAGGAAGAAGTCCCACTGAAAAAGAAAGGATGGTAAAGTGATGCTTGAAATAACCTTTGTTCAGCGATTTTTATGCAATTAGGATAGATATTTTCAATGTGCATCACTTGACCAAATACTTATAATTAAAGTTTATGTAAAATTGAAATCTTGATACTGTACAATATACATTTTTTCTAAAACAAGAGTTGTTTAACACATTCTGCAAAATGAAATCTGCTGTTTTCTTAACAATATAATTTTCATACATATTTTTTCTATTTGTTGAAAAAATTGTTTTATTTAAGATAGTTAATATATCTTTATGAACTTTTCAGAAATTTATAATGTCAAATTGTATTTTCTGTAAACAATATTACAAAGGAATCTGTGTAATTGATTTAACTCTTATTTAGTGACCTAAAATTCATCTTTTCTACAAAATATGTGAGTTAACCTGAAACTAACTGAAAATGGAATCTGTGATCTGAATTCAATTCCTAAATGTGGTAGTTTGTATTCACTTAGTTTTCTTTGGGAAAGGTATGAATTCACCTCTCCCTATTACCCATTACTTGGTGTTGAGATGGACACCACAATGTGAATCTCCAGTGTCTTAAGAAATGTGTAAAGAACCAATGACCATTGAGTAATTTGATTTTGATCTAGATATATAGCATTAGTGGAATAGAAATAAATTTGAATTAGGAAATATTAAATCGTTTAATACCACACAAGACTAAAATAATATTTATTTAAATTTTGTATGGTGTAATCCTGATGCCATAAAAGAATACAGAAAAATCAATCACTACATCTTCCATCTCAAGAGTTTATGTCTAAAAATATCAAAATAGAAATTTATCATGTGAAGCAAAAATGAACTAAATACAAAATCAACAGTTCAAATGTATATTTACTTATATTTATTTGTTTATGCTGTAAAATAATCTCCTATAAAATCCTATCCATATCAGTCTCTAAGCAATTATTAATGCTTTATTTGATTACTACCAAATTTGTTAATTAAGCTAATTATTTAAGAAAAAATGAAAAATCCAAATGCATAATAAAAGTTTATATTCTTATTGTTTGTTCTAAATTTAATTGCTAAGAAAGGTAAATTATATATTTTTGATTAATTTTATATTTTGTTAGTTAATTTTCTCAACTAAACAATGTTTTTTGAAAAGTTAAGGTTTTCAGTTCATAGTCAACAAAAACATTTTAAAAATATTTATGCTCTGCTATAATGTAATAAGTAATACTGTTAATTTCACTCCTTATCAAAGCTTAAATCAAATTCTTTAGGTTTATTAAAAAATAAACTGAAAAAACAATTTAAATGAAAGCTTAAATTTAACTATTAAGACAGCTTTATTTTTTAATATGAACACACTTTCTAACTATACGTATGATATAATCTTCTTCAATACAAATAATTTCAATTTAATATTTTAATGTTTTCAGCTAAATTTAGTAAAACTAATTCTTTAGTGTTTTACAAAATGAACAAATATAAGAATGTCATCTTATATAATTCAATAATATAAATATGATAAACATGAAAAATATTTTCCTGAAGATTCTAGCTATCTTTACAAATAAATCCAATAATAATTGGTGATAAACTCAAAGGCCTTGGTATTAAAACTGCCCTGACAATATTTTCTACCATAAAAGACATAATTAATAATTCAAAAAATAAGAATAAATATGATTCATATGCTGATGTGTGTGTATGTGTGTATATATATATATATATATATATTACAATGAATCATTCATAAAAAAGTAAATTAGTAAAGTTAATGATATAAAATGGCAAAATCCTTTCGCTAACAAAATTTTAAAGATGCATTAACCAATCACTCGATGAATGTTATGATCCTTGTTTCTTAAAATTATAAACTGTATAAGGTCTTCCTTAAATACACAAGTACTTTCAACCATATATTCAGTCATCTTCAGGTATGGAAATTTTGTTTTTGCTAAAATTCAGGTAGCATCTGAGGCGAAAAAATATAATGTGAATCGAAATATGTTTTTTTGAAATGTATTATTGATAACAGATATGAACTTGTGGAGCGTGCAGTGTCAACACTAAGGTTGAATTTTTTTTTTAAATTTAAGTGAATGCATTTTTTACTAATATGGCAATTTAAGAATTTTTTTGTTGTAGGAGTTTATCAGTCAATGTGGCATGAACTAAATAGTTCAATAAGTAGAGTAATGTCTCAGTTGTTATCCTGAAAATTTGCACATCGGATCAGTTCTTTTAAATCAAATATGTGGTGCAGTTCAATTTATATTACAACCTTAGCATTGCAACTACATGCTCCTTAACTTCCTGTTGTACATAAAAATGTAAGGGAGAAAACTGAAACCTCTTGTGCCAGCATTCTTTTCCTGGGTTTCCTCTTTTACATTAAAAAGTTCCTACTTTTTTTCAAATACATTTTGTTTTTGTAGCATTTGATAATTGTACTGTATTTTTGTGTTACCTTTTATGTGAGAAATGGCTAAAAAAACAACAAAAAATCTAGGTAGTAAAAGTACTAAGGGCAGTGATGAAAATCCTGTGAAGGCTACAAAATCTCTACCAAAAGTTGCAAGTGTTGGATCAATTGAAAACTATATCATTGACTGAAGTAGCAAAGAAATGGTTGAAAATGAGTCTAGCATTCATTTGATAAAACAAAGGGAAAAAAAGAAATTTTAAAGAAGTTTCAGTATTTTGCCTACAGGTTCATAATAAAGTACTTGTAAAGATCATGAAAGCATCAAATGTGTGTCTAGAGAACATGAAGAAGTATGTCCCTGGTGACAGAAACATTCACTAGGGAAAAGGCATTTAACCTTTTTGAACATTATAGTGATGGGAGTAAGAAGAAAAATAAAAAGGTTTTTAAAGATGTCATGGAATAGCTTACAGGAAAATCATTGTTAACTGATACAGAAGTCTCAGAAGTTTTAGAACACCTCAAAAACATTAATAAAGGAAAAAAAAGTCTTCAGCTGTTAAGAAATGAACCTTTTCTGGAAAAAAGGGGCAAATTGTATCTATATTCATAAGAGTGCAAACTTGGAAGAATTTTCTTATTCTGGTGCTGTGTGACCATACTGGTGGTCAAGCCAAGCCTTGTTGGATGTATAGATCTAATAAGTGTCATTCATTTGAGTACAAAGGCAAAAATATGTAACACAGTAAAAGGGCTTGGGTCATTTTGTTTCTTTATTGGTACTACCAATACATGAAGTGAAGAAATACCTCAATACCCCCACCCATCCTAAGTCTAGGATGTGGACATTAAGTGCTGTAGCCATTTGATCAAGGCAACATACACACCCACTTTTGTCGGGGTTTATGCTATATTTGATCCTAATCTGGTTTGTGGCATCATGCATTTAAATGAACTGCTTATCAATTAATATTTGTATGAAAATATAATTTGCATCTGCATGATTATATCTATACACATATGACATAATGCTTAGAGGTGCATTAATCATATCTGTTATGTATATATATTATACACTATTACATTAGAACATGTTCTAATGTAACAGTGTATAATAAATATTTATTGCTCTACTTTTGTATTAAGCCCTATTTTAAATTAATGTTTTGAATGTTGAAATTTTATTCTTCATTCTTTTACATTTTGGAGTAGGAAATGGGTTAAATCCAACATGTTTTTAATTTATACTCATATTCAAGAAGAATCTCTGTTTTTTAAATAAACAATATTTTTTATCCAACTACATCTAATGGCCTGAATATTCAAGAAATCTTGTTGAACCTGCATTCCCTATTATATTAATATAGATAATAAAGATTAATAGTAAATTTAAAATATATATATATATATATATATATATAAAATAACAAAAAGTTAATATTATACATAAAGAAAGTAAAATTAATGGTATAGAGAAGGAAACCACATAAAGGATCATATATAAAGACTGTGAATGCATGTATGCATACATGTTAGTATCATACAAAACATCCAATACTTCAAGTATAAAATTCTCCAAAATAAATGTTATTTGGGAATTTTGAAATGGTTCTTATGTCTACAGTTGAAGACAAGTTCACTTCATTGGTTCAATAATTCATCAGTGTTTTCATAATTATTATGATTTTTTTTCTTTAATGCAAAGATTACATGTGTCCCTGAAGTTGTTGGGAGTCTGAGATTTACAGATAATCCTCCATTTCATTTGTGGGGTGGAGCCTCCATCTTTGAGATTCCAGTAATGTTTAGACAGAGCTTTTTGCTATACATTAAGATACATTGGTGAAGGAATGTCATGATTGTAAAAACGTTGCTTCCAACATCCAGCTGAAATTCCTATATATACTTTTTTTTCTGGTTGATATTTTCCTTCAGAAAAATAGTAGCTTCATATACTACAGTTTCTGAAGTACAAATACCCCCAACTGGGCAGTCAGCTCCAGCTTTACAATTACAAGGAGGTTTATTTTCCTGTGTTTCACTGCCATGAATTTTTTTTAATAGAAGATTATTATGTAAACTAATTATACTGTCTATATTACTAACACAGGAGTAACTAATTTTTAAAGTTTTCCTATTGAAAATTT